CACACGAACAGCTGGCATGACGTTGACTGAGATTGTTTCGCGACGTCAACACAATCACCCATCCTCTTCATCATCATTGACCATCGCATGGTCAACGATAGAATTTGCACAATATATGGTACATAATACAGACTACAACACTTGCAATATCTAATACAAAGTTATATATATATATATACATACACACATATATATATATATATATATATATATATATATATATATATATATATAGTGTGTGTGAATGTACATATGAACATGCATCTACATCTACATATGCAGATGCATTTCATCTCCAGTAAATCATCATCAACAGCCCATAAGAGACTGGCCGAGCTCTCGATTTCTTCTAAGGCCGCTTCTGGAACCTGAAAGCAAATGCTCGAGCGGTCCGCCGTGGCGCCAAATGCGCAGTCCCGACTAAGTGACAGTCTAGGCACGACGAGGGCTGCAAATCCTGCCTGCTCATTATTTCTTCTACCTAGAATCGGCGACGTTGTGGGATCGGGCCGAACAGTATGTTACCAAACTCTCATGCTGCGCTTATCTCCATACCGCAGCTATGCTGAATGTGCAAGCGAGGATTGACAGCAAAGCAGGGCAGCTCGAAGCTCGAGTTGGGAGTTTCAGAAAATCCAGGCGATCCTGATGTAGAACCCGAAAATATAAGACTGCCCCACTACTCGTACGAGGGTCCTTTGAAATTGACCCCCCAAACTCTCGTCGAGCACTCGCGAGCTCTCGAGCTGCAGGAACCTGTGCTTTGTACAAAGCAGAGCCAAAAGCTCTCTGAGCTACGAAGGTCAAAGGGGCTAAGGTTTAGGAATTGCGGCTTGGGCTTCAGGGTTAAGGGTTGGGCGGCTAAGAGTTTAGGAGTTTAGGGTTGGGATGCCATCCATGAAAGTGTCTTCAAATGGAGAGAACTTCAACACTCCAGGTTGCTAACTACTGCCCCGCTTTACTCCTCTAGAGCATAAGACTCTGACCTTCGAACCCCCAAACCCTCGGCCCTAAACCCTGGTCAGACCACCAGCGACGTCTCGCCCACGCGTGCCGTCGTGGCTGCAAGGTTCACACCACAACGGCCGGTTCCCCGCTCCTGGATTGGTATTCGGGTTTAGGGTGCAGGGCTTGTAGAGTATAGAGCTCATGGTTTGCAGTTAGTTGTAAGGCATTCCGGGTTTGGGGTTCGGGGCTTCCGGTTTGGGGCTCAAAGACCGTATGGCTTCGAGAAGCTTTAGGCTCCATGCGCGGAAGGGGCTCAAGGCTTCGTTTTTGTTTTTGTTGACGCGTCTTTTCCTTCCCGTTGTTCGAGGTTAGAAGGCCATTCTGACTGAGGCGGGAAAAGGGGACCGAACAGAGGCATTCACCACCTAACCACCATTATCCAGGTTTCGCTTTAGGGTTTAGGGTTTTGGGCCACTGCGAAATCATGAAAGCCTTGACGGCTAATATAGGGGCCTTAATAGTTAGGCTAGGGTTTGGTTTATACTATAATCATAATAAGGAACCCCCAAAATAGTATAGGAAGTCATTAAAGCCCCGATAATATTGAGAGCCCTAAGGCCGTGGAACTACCGGCGATGCCGCAGTGTCGGAGTCCAGGCTTGTGCTCACGCTACCCCCTTGCACCGCCTAAATTCTAGACCTACAGATACTCAAGCCCTAAACTCGAGACATCAACACATTGCCGAAACTGAACCGTAAATTCCCGAATACTGAAGGCCTATGTTATTTTTGTATTTGTTTTTGACTGGGGGGTCCTCATTATATTTATAGTATGATGGACCCCAAAACTCTCTTCTAATTATCAAGGCGCCTACATGATGCCCCCAATACTGAAACCCGGAGCAAGGTGCCAAGCGGAAGAAGCCTTTTTCACCCCAGGAGGTGCCCCAGGAGTTCTTGATCCTCTGAGCCGCTGAAAGGTTTGGGAGTTTCCGGAAATTAGGGGTACCTTATTTTGGGGTCCTTATAACAGGGTCCTACTATTTAGGGTACTATATTAGTGCCCCTAATTTCGGAAACTCCCATTTAAAGAGCTTAAGGGGAGTTTCAGTTTCACGAGTTTCCTTTAGGGTTCTAAGTGCTGGGAGCTTAAAGACGAAACTTGGGAATCTCGCCTATCGGGTTAACGTCCAGCAAGTCCTTTGGGGAATGAGGCTCTTATGCACGTGTCTATGCTGTTACACCGACTCATGCGACATCCTAAACTCTGCAATACCCTATGCAATGGAAGTTCTTGCCCACAGGTTGAGGAGTGTGTAGGCCCGGACGAGGACATTGATGAGGTTGAATATGTGGTAATGGTGGTTATGGTGATGGTGCTTGGTGCTGACTGTGGTGATGGTTATGATGATGGTGATGTCGTGGTGACCCTGATGACGACGGTGAAAGAGAGGATATCGATGAGCAGGAAGAGGAGCAGGAGCCACGGCAGCAGCACCAATGATTTCTACTGCTGGTACGATTAGACACATGATGACTGCTACAAGCTAGTCACGGCTCGTACTTCAAGATGATGGCGGTAGCGATGCCCATGATGAGGCGTAAGTGTCAAACACTCTCATGTCCGTCTTTCGGGACAACGTGCCTCCAGTATGGCTTCGTCTTTCCCAAGATGTCGCGGTCCTTTTTGACCGAGGCAGGGTTCGGGGGGTTAAAGGTGGCCTTTTAAAGGGCTGCTATAAGGGATCTATAAGGGCACCAGAATATAGGGGCCTTAATAGATAGTCAAGGATTCGTGGTGCAAGGCCTTCGGTTCGGTATTGAACATGTGGAGTAAGATCTCCCGGAGTTTTCTCCGAGTCAGCATGCGTCGGTCCAGGCTTGACTGTGCGATTCCTGTTCAGGGTCTGAGCATCAACACCTTTTGATTCCAACTTGGAGCGAACTTGCGCCTCAGGTCCATCTATTCATCTATGGAACATAGCGAATGACTGTAGTTGCGAAGGGAACCAACAAATACTATTACTACGGCCCGTCTTTGAGACTGCTTGGACTTCCATGGAAGGGCCGTTCGAAACCATTCTTCCACAATTTGCACTCATGTCGCGCTGCTACCGAAAAACACAGAACCCTCAACACCAACTGGCACTCCTGACCGTAGCCGACCAGGAGCACTGCATGGTCCAAACCCAGGATGCCTCGTAAACGCTGCTGCTGACGTGCTTGCGGGGGGGGGGGGGGGGGGGAGACCATTACAGTAAAACTGAAGCAACCCTCACAGAAACCCTTGCGCTACAGCAACCGTTATGGTAACGAATATAAGAGCCCCAGATACGCTGGTAACCTAACCCTTATACCTGACTTATATGTCCTGGAAGACTTGGCCCCGAAATCCAGGCGAGAGGTCAAGCAAGCCATAAGGCCCAAGTCACAGAAAGCAGCCATCAACAGAAAACCCGAAGAAATCCCTGAACTCTAGAGCTGCGCAGTTTTCAGGATTTCAGTCTTGACATGTCTTGACAGCCTATCAGGACGACGAAACTCTTCGCAGAACGTGGGAAGCTGCTGTTGTTATCTGGTCGACACGGAATCACCAACCCTGTCCCGACTCCGGATTAGGACCTCGACGGCCTTTGTTTCAACAGCCAATAGTTCTGCTGCCTTTGGTGGCTTGGAAGTCGATGCTTGTCATAACCCACTCCCACATTCTGAAGGAGTCTGGGATGTTTTGGGGCGTGATCCCTGTGAAGGCACTGCAGCTTCGCAACTCATGCGTACCTGACACACATCTTCGGCGGGCTTCCGGCTCCTTGCACCGCGAAATGCTGCCGGCCCCGGGGTTGAAGCCTAGAGCCTGCAGCCACTTTTTGGCCAAAACAACTGATGAGCAATGAAAAACCCTCAATCCTAAACCCTGGACCCTGGATTCTGGATCCAACCAGGCAATGGGGTGAGGAGGCTGAGATGAAATCGAGCTGCCAGACCCTGGATCCGGCTGGCAACCAAAAACGCCACCTGAAGGAGGACATACGTTAATGGGGCAAGCTCGTGGACCACTCGGAGTATTAATTTCGACGTTTCCTTGTAGGTTCTTGTGCGGTTCGGGGTCTTCTTGCACTGGGGGCTCGTACTCATGCTTGGGCTCAGCGTGAGATGGGCTCATGCTGCTTCTGCTGATACAGATGTGGAGAATACAAAATGTAGCAAAAGAATCAGGTGCGTGCTGCATCCCAGCATCTTGATGCTAGACAGTAATAGCTAATTTCCGCGCATCCTGCATTACACGTCCGTGTCGAACGGCACCTCTGCTGTAGGGCTCTTGATACTTGAATAGGGCTTGGATCAACCCCCCGCTTCTACAACACACACACACACACACACACACACACTGTGCTACATCTGCTATAAGTCATGAGGCCCTCAGGAAAAGTATTGGTCACTATGGCGGCCGCTGCAATACGGGACACCCTCTTCGATCTGCGGCCTGCCTCGCCAAATGCCGGAGTGATAGAACTGCAAGCTGTCCTTGGCTGCCAGTTCGTATTACTCTTCTTGTGATTGTTCGTATTTGTATTATTGGCACCAGCATTGTCAGCCTAGTACAAGAACCCAACATGTCTTGGCCAATCCGTGTGGCTCTGAAGCATGAACTTCCATTCTGCCAGAGTAATGCGAACTGCCAGAACAACGCGAACTGGCATCGACTGTTATTGTTGCTCTTACTATCCTTACTTCGTTTGAAGTCACTGGTTAACATTAGCACTCTTCTCGATAACATTCCTGTTGCTATTCATACGAAAAGATTTTCGGTTTAGTATTATGAGTATTCCGAGTACTATTACCATTACCAGTATTATTCGCGTGACCATGATGTTTTCTCATAATCATTAATATCATTATCATTGTCGTTGTCAGTACTGTTAGTCGTATTCGCACCCGCATTAGCATCGGCTTCAGTGTGAATTATGATTAGTCGTCTCAGTGTCATTCTTCTCATGATTATTGCCATTCGTCGTCACTGCTGCTAAAACCCTAAACCCTAGCCTAAACCCCTAAACCCTAAACCCCCTAAACCCTAAACCCCTGAACCCTCCAGACCCAGCGTCTGCTTCAATGAGCACGGACAGCGGCCCATACTGCACCAGCTGCATTGCCAGTTCACTCTCGTTGCCTTGACTTGGGCAGTCCGTCTTCTGACCCCAACCCGGGGTTTCGGGTTTCGAGCTTTCTTTAGCATTTTTTAAACACCCTTATACCATACTGTACTACACTATACTATACTATACAATGTATGCCTATTTAGGTTCATAGATCAAACAGGCTCTCGGCAGCTCAGGGGCGGCTGAGCGCCCGCCAACCCGTCACGCGCACGGCAAAGCCCTGGGAGGCGTGGCAGAGGTGCAGCGGGCCCTGACCTCTCGGCGCTGTATGGAGTGCAGTTGACTCGGCAAAGTAATCTAGGAGCCTGCAAGCAGTACTATTCTGATTATCCAGGATTCCCGACTAAAATTCCGATAGTATACCAGGTATTCTATACCCCAGACCCCATCCTGACTACTCAGACCGCAAAATAAGTCGCGAAAAGCATAGCGACCCGCCTTTCGTGGAGTTGGCCTTGCAGAAGAGGTCGTCGTGGTTGCCACAGAGAGGTTTGCTGTAGCCTCTTCACAACGGGAGGAAGCGGGCCCACAGCATGTCCCACAGGAAAGTATTTTGTATAGTATAGTAGAGTAGAGTATAGTCTAGTATAGTATAGATTGCAGACCTCTACAGAACAAACTGTATGGCTTTCTCCCTCCCTGCTTTGGTTTTGCTTCAACTCCACTCTCAGCCAGGCCTTGTGGCATGCAAGGGTACATGCCAGTCGCCCAATAAGGCCAGTCTGCTTCACTGAACATGCCGCCAGCTTTTTCAAGGTACTGGTAGGCCAGGTACGGCCAGCCCCCAAACATGCCGCAATCAGCACCTGAGTCTTCGAAATTAGAGCTTACCAGGATATTTAGTTGTTGGTACCAATGTGACCTCGTCTGCAACTAGCTCAACAGTACGGGCAAGTACGTACCCGTAGCTGGTTGCTCAGACGATGGCATAGGCAGACAAGCGGACAAGACAGAGGTGGGCTGAGAAGTTGCAAATTGCTGCTGCACAAGACGCGAGCGTACGTGGGCTTGACACGGACACTCATGGACACATTGCCCGGTCTGAGAAGTGGGAAAGGGCCCAGACGTTTGATTGTCCAAGCGTCAATTGAAGCTCTGCTCAAAGGACGTGAAGTGCGTGATGGGTATGTAGAAGTATAGGTCTGAGAGCCGGGCACCCTTTGCCTCCGCCACAAGATGGATCCGTACTTGCCTTGCTCATGCAGGCACATGGTACTGCAGAATCGCTTCATCACTCACCTCCAAGCAATTGAACACCTCAGATGGTACCTGCGTGCCCACGAGCACGACCAACATGAACAGTTGGCGCACTGCCTTGTTCCAGTATACAAGAGAGTACTGCCTAATCAGCCAAGCTGCATCACACTCGACCAATTGCTCCGGTGACAACGGCACGAGCTTACCAGTGGTGACGGCCACCTGGCCTCCACAGGGCACTGCTCCCAAGACATGAGAATCGTGCGCGCGCTGCCCAACTTACTTCAGAGCCTCGGAAAACAATCGTTTTCGCAATACCGCCACACACACCCACAGAGCAAACAGGTCAGGAAATTCGGAAAGGTGTGGCCTAATTAACTGCTGTGTGTGGTTTCGGCTGGGTTGCAAACAGAACAGTGTGTGCTTGCAATTACGCAAGAACGTCTAGAAAGAAGACAAAGGACTGCATTCGGCTACACCATGCGTTTACGCAGCCAGATGTGCAATGCGACATCATGTCTGACGATTCCCGCTTCCTGGGTGATCGATCTGCGAACGCGTCGTCGGTAGTGCGATAGGGCTTTAGGGCAATTAGGGCATGGGATGCTTCAAGCCGTTAGGATGTTGAACTCACGGAGAAGTGTTCAGGATGGTTGAAGCGGTTCTGGATGTTCGGATGTAGCATGTGGGAGCATGGGCTAGGGGACAGCGTGTGAGGCTTTGCACGGAGAGCCCTGGCATCTTAAAGGTACTTAAGGGATCATGGGACTCAGTAACCAAGGTTATAAGTGACGTAATTTGGGTTCTAAGTACAGTTACCCTATGTAACTATAAGCCTAGTTACTAAGTCCCTTGATCCTTTAAGTACAGCATGAAGAAACCCACCGAAAACTCAGGTTTGACCCTGTCTCCCAGCCTTCCACTGCCTCGGCAGTGGACACGGCCCAGCATGACCCCAGCGCCTGGGGGGCGGGCACATGTGGGAGTTTCCGAAAATTAGGGGTACCTCATTTTGGGGTCCTTATCATAAGGATCCTACTATTTGGGGTACTATGTTAGGGTCCCCTGTTTTCGGAAACTCCCATGTGGAAGTCATGGCCAGCTAGCCCAGACGATGCCTACACTTCATGACAACATGGCGGAATCGTCAGCACAATAATGCTGATGATGATGGTGGTGGTGGTCGTGTATCGTCACAGTCACGGCGATGATGGAGATATTGAGAATGTGAGGCTGGCCAAAGAAAACCTTCTTATCACAATCACCATCATGCTCGCCAACATCGTCACCGCAATTGTGCACAGATGGTCAGCAAAAACATCAGCACCATCATCGTGACCATCGCCATCGGGAATATACCTAAGATCATAAGATTAAGGCCTCTATAACTTAAGGTATCTTCCTTATTTAAAGGGTATTGGGTTCTCAGGGTACATCGGCATCAAGATTTCTGGGGCTTGCGCTTTGCGGACCGACTCACCAATCGTCCTAAGCACGACGGTATATATTCAAAGAACAGATGAATAGGGTCTACGAGGGCTACTATGGGATCTATAAGGGTACTATAATGTAGGTGCCTTTATGATTAGAATAGGGCTTTGGGGTATATTATACTGTAGTTATAATACAGAACCCACAAAACAGCATTGGTAAGTGTAAGGCCCCTTTAATAGACGGACATGCAGCTGGCAGTCTGGGGCCGCCAGCTCTGCCCCTGTAGGGTTCAGGGGTTGAGGGGTTCAGGGGTTTAGGGGTTTAGGGTTTAGGGTTCAGGGGTTCAGGGGTTTAGGGGTTAGGGTTCAGGGTTCCGATGCTTGACCCGAGACCAAGTGCCTCAAAACCATCCACCATAAACAGGTCCTGGAAGCCAAGTGGAAAATTCGGACAACAGGTCCTCACTACAACTCATGAAAACTAAGACCAAACTTCCATTCGAAAGACCCCGACAACAAAAAGAGACTCCGCACATAAAGTAGTTATCCTACCCTACAAACCCTAAATCCTAGACTCGAAAACCCTAAACCTCCCGGAAAAATCCAAACTCCAGCAAGCCTTCTGGTCGCGCACTGGGCCAACAGCGCCTTCTTGAAGGAGTGGTGCAGCTTGTTGAATTCAAAATTCGTATGAATACACATATGTGTGCGCATAAATATACAGTATGTTATATTGTACTATATTATACTCCATTATACTATACTATTTACTATACCATAGTATATTATTATCTATATCTATATCTATATCTATATCTATATCTATATCTATATCTATATCTCTATCTCTCTCTATATATATATGTACATATGTATATATATATATATATATATATATATGCGCACGCAGGTTCTCGGTTTAGAGATTATTTCGTTCAACAAACCATGGTGTGCATTTTCAGCTGGCATTGTGAGGGTCTACAACCCCCCCCCCACAACAGTAGTTGTCATTATTTAGACTCAGATGCATCTCAAGTCTAGATCGTGAATTGTCTGTCAGATTCGGTGTTGGGCTCGCAAATTTCAACGCTTAGGTTCAGGGTGCAGGGAGGACGAGGGTTTAGGGGTTTAGGGTTTAGGGTAGTACCATCATCATCATCATTATCATCATCACTGTTCACCACCATCATCATGAGTATCAGCGCTCGCGAAGTCATCATCCCCCTCGTCATCGTCATTATGCCCGCGGTGGTGGCCTCCATGATGTAGTAAGGATCTCTTGTCCGTCACCATAAATTTTCGTCCTTCTTTATTTGTCATCATGGCTGCCAGTTGCAGCATCTTTATCACTGCTAGCACTATATGTGGTCGTCGTCATGGTACATTCAACTGTGGCCATGAATATCAACACTAGCGGCAGGAGTAGCAGTCAGAGCCGTAGTAATCGAAGTCGAAGTCCTTGCCAGGCCCATCTAGTCGTTGTGATACTAGGGTGTCGTCGCCGCAGCTGTAGTAGTCGTCTACCACTACTAGTGCCGATAGCGTTGCAATCGTCGTCGTAGCAGCAGTAGTAGCAGCAGCGGTAGCACGAGCGGCGCGGCAGATAGCAGTAGTAGTAGCAGTAGCCGGCTCAGCAAAAAAGCGCCTTACTAATTAGAATAGGGTTTTGAGGCCCCTTTTTCCTAGAATTATGGTAAGGAACCTCCAGAATAGTATAGGTAATTATTAAGGCCCCTAAATTAGGAGGTAGTCAGAGTTCGATTGACTTGTCTTAGCCCGGCCTTTGTCAGTCCAGTCGAAGCTATCCGAAAGACGTGGGGCGATCAGCACGGACTCTGCTGTGACATCCGGCGCGGTGCCTTGCCAAACTCTCTTGCGGATCTAATATAGGAGCCTTAATAATTGGAATAGGGCTTGGGGCCAAAGTTTGGGGGGTATATTATACGATAATTATAATAAGGAAACCCCACAGCAGTAGAGGTAACTAGTATGCTTCTATATTAGTTGGCAGGTCTGGGAGTCAGAATTGCGGAGCTCTTGAAGAAGCTTTGCCCTCCCGACGTCCGCAAGAAACACTAAGCGTAGGCAATACATGTGCATGAGCATATGCATATTTTCTACCCTACGTTGCTGCGTACCATATGCACCCTTTGATGGCGCACTCCGTTCCATCACTCCTGAAACACGGAGTAGTAGCCCATACCTTCGAAACCTGAACCCCGTTCCCCAAAACCCCAAACCCTAAACCCTAATACCATCGAAACCTGAACCCTGAGTCCATCTAAGTCTCCAGGGTCGATCATCTAGGTCTCTGAGCCTCTCTGCTTTTCCAGGCCCCCTGGTCTCTACCATGAAGCCTACTCCTTACACACCTCCAGCTTAAGTCCCTTGGTGCTTAGTAGGGAACGCGGGGACGCATCCCTGGAGTAGTCCCAAAAGAATCCCCAATAATAGCCCCCACAATCCTTTCCCGCGCTCCCCTACTAAGTTACTAAGCACCAAGTAGCACGTAACCCTAAACCCCAAAACCGTAAACCCCAAACCCTAAACTCTAAACCCTAAGCCGACCTAAACCCAAGGGAAGCCGGGGGTCGTTTCGACATCAGCCGTGCAGCAAACCTGAGAGTCGCAATTCGAAGCTGATTTCCGAATTTTCCGGCTTTCCTGGGCCCCAAATTCAAAAGTATGTAGAATCATGGCCCTTAGTTTAATAGGTTTGGGTGCTATTATTTGACCTACTTTTGGGGGTTTAGGGCTTCAGGCGTTTATGCTGTGTTAGCCGTGTTACGTGCGTCAAATTTTCTGGACAGGGTTTGGAACCAACCCGCAGTCGTCGCAAGGTTGCAGAGGGGTCTCATGGCGAGGGCTAAAGCCTCGAGCCCTATGCCCAATACAGGGGCCTAAATGATTACCTATACCATTTGGGGGTTTCCATACTATACGTGTAGTATAATGAGCCCCAAAACCCTCTTCTAATTATTCAGGCCCCTGCATTATACCAACCGCGGGCAGCAGTATCTAGGACATGCACCTGGGACATGCTTGGAACGTCAATCTACAAAGTCCATGTCAATCCTTCGGCACACAGTATCACGAGACATCCTCTGCCGCCCGTGTCTTCGGCTACGACGGAACTGACCAGGCGGCACAGTCTGCGAAACTTTACATCGGACTCTTGCTGATCCCATTCGCAAGCCCGCTGCAGCAGATTCAGCGATGTTCAGTAGTTTCAAGACAGTGCGCCTCTCGTCTTTGAGATCAGTGCATAGTTTTTGAAAGATACCTCGATCGCACTGACGAGCATTCTCCTGTTTCACTACTCCTCGCGACTTCGTACAGATCCTCTCTGGATCTGAAATTTCCGTGTTCACTGCACCAGGTTTAACAATGAAGTACGTGGTTGCAACAGCTTGCACCTGCAATCATTCCTCATCCCTAACCCTGCAAGCCCTGAAGCCGAATATCGGGGTCCTGCATATCATGATAGCATGCTAGACCCCCCAAAAAACATACAAAAACCGTATTCAATGACGAGATGTCTCCTTCCGAGGGACTCCTGCGGCTCCAGGTCAGCGAAGGGCCCGGCAACGCTGTAGGTCACGCCAGGATCATTCTCGTTCAGCTCCCGCACCTAACTGCACTACCTTGAAGGTTTTTTTTTTTTAAAGTGCACTGACCTTTCTCCGCTCCGCCAGCAACCTTGAAGGTTTAGGGTTTAGGGTTTAAACCTTAAACCCCGAAACCCTAAAGCTCTAAACCCTCAACCCCTAAACCCTTAAACCTAAACCGTGGTAAAGTGCGAAGGGGATATCCCCCAAAAAAAATCTTGCCGGGGCTCTTAAACTGCTTCGATCGGGCCCTCGACATGCACACCCGATTCAGGGTGTAAGACTTAGAATAGGGTTTAGGGTTTAGGGTTTAGGGCTTAGAATAGGGTTTAGGGTTTAGGGTTTGGGGCTTAGAATTGGGTATAGGGTTTAGGGCATAGAATGGGGATAGGAATATATTCAAGAAGTATACCAATGTATTCTAAGCAGGGTGGACTGCCAGCGAGTGGGCTCTTTCACTTCAATCCTCAAACCGGAAGCCCCAGCGCAGGGCCAGGAAACCCTGAACGTCCTGAATGTAGGGGCCTTAACAATTAGAATAGGGTTCCTTTAAAGGGCTCCTTGAAGGGATACTATAAGGGTACCATTACGGGCCTCACTAACTAGAATAGGGTTCCTTTAAGGGGTTCCTTTAAGGGATGCGGTACTGTATAAGGGATTTCAGGAGATAGGGGCCTTGATAATTAGAATAGGGTTTTGTTGCCCGTTTTACTATAATCATATTGAAGGAACCCGCCCAAGACAGTATTTGTACTTATTGAGGCCCCTATTGTACACCATAAAACTTTTGAGGCCCCGTCTCGAGCAACATTGGCTCGGAACACCTCCGCCCGGACCTTCGCCACCTGGCGGAGACCGGGATCACGTGCTTCGGAAGTTTAGGGGTTTCTGCATGCAGCAATAACATCCCCTCATGTACTAGCGAACCCCAAGCCCGGAGTAAGGGTGCGGGGCTTCTGCACCAACGCAATGCCCAGCATGAGCCCCCAAGGTACAGTTGGTCCTTCAGACTCCCCACGTTCCGTAGAACTGCCGCCAGAAGGTCGGGCTCATATGACAAACAACCAGTGGCGTCAGGTGCAAAGCCCCCCCAGCAAGGATGGTTTGAGGCATCCGACAGCAGGTTCAGCGTTCAGGGCTTCGGGATACGGGTTGCGTCCGGGGCTGGGGATAAACAAAGTGCTTCCATCGTGCCGCCTGAGCTGAGCAAGCTTATAGACCCGCATATGATTATCGAGAACTGCTTATCTTCCTCCTCGAACATGTCTACAAGAAGCAACCTCTACAGATACAGGTTGCAGTCTTCCTCCGAAATATCCAAGAGAACAACAGCATCACAACGCCCTTCATACACGTCAAAATACATCATGAAGCCCCATATAAGACCTCCCATATAATACCTCATAGTACATCACAATGTAGCCAATCACTCTGCCTTACAACGTACAAAATCAACGGCGTTGGGCCAAGTTTTATCTAAAGCTAAACCCTACAGTACCCAAACCCGAAACCCCTAAACTTGCCTCCTCATTCTCGTAAGTCTTGCCATGAGCTTTGGACCAGTCGGCGAAGCGGGGAGCAGTTTTTCCTGGAGCTAGGGATGCGCGGTTTAGGGTTTAGGGTTTATGGGTTTAGGGCTCAGGGTTTATGGGTTTACGTTTTAGGGTTTAGGGTTTATGGGCTTGGAAGTTCAGGGTTTGGGGTTAAACGGGTGCAGGATTCTGGCTACAAGGCTAGAGTTTCAGAAAACACCGAAGCGCTTTAAAGTGGGTCTGCTGCTGACAGGTTCCTGACTACATTAATCAGTGTATGCAGACTGCAGCATGTCTTTTGCCCAACGTCTGTTGCGAGATAATGCGGGCCTATGGCTCAATGCAAACATGCTTGAATCCACTGAGAAGCTTCTTTGACACATCGGATACACGAAGTCCCTTCAATCTCTGAACACCTGAGCCCACGGGTGCCATGTCGTGTGGTGCTGCGGGACACATCACCTCAACACGTAATGTAGGGGCGCTTCTTAATTGTCTATACCATTTCGGTGTTCCCTAAAAATAAAAGTATAATGGGCCCCGAAACCCTGTTCTAATCATTAAGGCCCCGAAAGTAAGTTCGCAGTAACTACCGGCCGGGCACGGTTTGTGCGATCGGCTGTGGAGCACAAGTGCTCCGGTTATGTATGCGTCGCCGGATAGGTAGGATGAGCTACTCGCTACAAGCCTAAAAGCTTCGCCAGTCCTGTTGCCAAAAATATGCACAACGACCTTACTCAACATCAACACGACATCAAACGTCGCCACTGACAATCCCTGATTGGCTTGTGCAGGGTCGGAGTTCTCAGAAAGCGAGAACAACCTTTCAACCAGTTCTAGCTTCCCACCTCGTGCCAGCAGCGGCAGAAGGTACAGCCAGAAAAGCATGGCTGCAGCTGTCCAGGGCCAAAGATCCCTTCAGTATGTTAACCACCACCGGCGAAGAGTGTGCGGCTCAAGCTTGTGTTGGTCATGAAACACTCTGCAAGAAAAATCGTAAGCTGAACAAAGCTGTACTTGTATACGCCCCTTGAGCCCACATGGCTTACATACAAAACCAAAGAACGTCGATACTACTCGATTCAAGGCAAGCTTCTCTGCAGTGCAGTGCTGATGTTAAATACTGGACGCGCCGCACGCATGCGCTCTGCCTTCACATGCTCTTGAACCTGAACTTGGGGAGACAGAAAATGCACAGGTGTGCCGGCGCCTCTTGTAGTGCACCCGCACGGCGAGTATGGGAAAAACCACGGCAGCCTCAAAAAAGGAAGTTGGAAACAGGATGCGAAGCAGCAGAAACGATGGAATCAACGCAACTACGACGACGGCATGCAAAGAAGCACCTCTCTCGTGGCCTCCCCTCTTCAGACCATGCGCGTCTCCCTCTGCCGAAGCAGAGTTCCCTCAGGACGCATGACTTTCCATGCATGGTGCCCGCAGCACCATCCTGATTGGGTCGCTCCCCAGCAGGCGCCTTAGCCCATCGCCCTGCTGTCATTCGCCTTGCTCGGCCCCATCACAGCGTGTTGGCCCCAAAGAGCAATGGGAATACCCTCGCGCAATGTGCCCCACGCTCGGCCAGCCGCGTGCAAGGGGTGCTCACATGGGGAAGAGACATCTCCTTGTGGGTAGGGCATGCCTGCACTTCTTGCAAGAAAAATGGTGCTGGCTGTGCGCACCTTTCAGCACAGATGGACATGGTAAGTCAACACACATACCGAACAGAGTCTCAATCCACGAACTTGGTCTCCGGATGCTTCCGGAACTACGACGACCGACATGACATGCTGCACTGCCGACGGTTACAGTAACAAGGCATAGACATGCACAGGACATCTGCAGCTATCTAGCAAAGGAAAGTGAATACGCATTCAATCGCAGCCTGCAAAGTTCCCTCAGGACGCATGACTTTCCATGCATGGTGCCCGCATGCACCATCCTGATTGGGTCGCTCCCCAGCAGGCGCCTTAGCCTATCGCCCTGCTGTCATTCGCCTTGCTCGGCCCCATCACAGCGTGTTGGCCCCAAAGAGCAATTGGAATACCCTCGCGCAATGTGCCCCACGCTCGGCCAGCCGCGTGCAAGGAGTGCTCACATGGGGAAGAGACATCTCCCTGTGGGTAGGGCATGCCTGCACTTCTTGCAAAATGGTGCTGGCTGTGCGCACCTTTCAGCACAGATGGACATGGCAAGTCAACACACATACCGAACAGAGTCTCAATCCACGAACTTGGTCTCCGGATGCTTCCGGAACTACACGACGATCGACATGACATGCTGCACTGCCGACGGTTACAGTAACAAGGCATAGACATGCACAGGACATCTGCAGCTATCACTTCGGAAGACGGCAACTGGCTAGCAAAGGAAAGTGAATACGCATTCAATCGCAGCCTCCCCTCTTCAGACCCATGCGCGTCTCCCTCTGACGAAGCAGAGTTCCCTCAGGACGCATGACTTTCCATGCATGGTGCCCGCAGCACCATCCTGATTGGGTCGCTCCCCAGCAGGCGCCTTAGCCCATCGCCCTGCTGTCATTCGCCTTGCTCGGCCCCATCACAGCGTGTTGGCCCCAAAGAGCAATGGGAATACCCTCGCGCAATGTGCCCCACGCTCGGCCAGCCGCGTGCAAGGAGTGCTCACATGGGGAAGAGACATCTCTTTGTGGGTAGGGCATGCCTGCACTTCTTGCAAGAAAAATGGTGCTGGCTGTGCATACCTTTCAGCACAGATGGACATGGCAAGTCAACACACATACCGAACAGAGTCTCAATCCACGAACTTGGTCTCCGGATGCTTCCGGAACTACACGACGATCGACATGACATGCTGCACTGCCGACGGTTACAGTAACAAGGCATAGACATGCACAGGACATCTGCAGCTATCACTTCGGAAGACGGCAACTGGCTAGCAAAGGAAAGTGAATACGCATTCAATCGCAGCCTCCCCTCTTCAGACCATGCGCGTCTCCCTCTGCCGAAGCAGAGTTCCCTCAGGACGCATGACTTTCCATGCATGGTGCCCGCAGCACCATCCTGATTGGGTCGCTCCCCAGCAGGCGCCTTAGCCCATCGCCCTGCTGTCATTCGCCTTGCTCGGCCCCATCACAGCGTGTTGGCCCCAAAGAGCAATGGGAATACCCTCGCGCAATGTGCCCCACGCTCGGCCAGCCGCGTGCAAGGAGTGCTCACATGGGGAAGAGACATCTCCTTGTGGGTAGGGCATGCCTGCACTTCTTGCAAGAAAAATGGTGCTGTGCGCACCTTTCAGCACAGATGGACATGGTAAGTCAACACACATACCGAACAGAGTCAGAGTCTCAATCCACAAACTTGGCCTCCGGATGCTTCCGGAACTACACGACTTTGACATGACATGCTGCACTGCCGACGGTTACAGTAACAAGGCATAGACATGCACAGGACATCTGCAGCTATCACTTCGGAAGATGGCAACTGGCTAGCAAAGGAAAGTGAATACGCATTCAATCGCAGCCTCCCCTCTTCAGACCCATGCGCGTCTCCCTCTGCCGAAGCAGAGTTCCCTCAGGACGCATGACTTTCCATGCATGGTGCCCGCAGCACCATCCTGATTGGGTCGCTCCCCAGCAGGCGCCTTAGCCCATCGCCCTGCTGTCATTCGCCTTGCTCGGCCCCATCACAGCGTGTTGGCCCCAAAGAGCAATGGGAATACCCTCGCGCAATGTGCCCCACGCTCGGCCAGCCGCGTGCAAGGAGTGCTCACATGGGGAAGAGACATCTCCTTGTGGGTAGGGCATGCCTGCACTTCTTGCACTCAACCTGCAATGTGAGCAGCACTGCTTCAAATCTGTAACTCTCATATGCTGCCAGCGGTCTTAGCTTTGAGCGCCGTATCCCAACAAATAAAGAGGGGTTTGGATGTAGATTATCGTTATAACTATAACTTATAACCATACAAGGAATCCGAAGTAATCGAGCAGCTGACCTTGTCCCAAGCCCATGACTCAACCTCACGAACCGCCCAACACGGAACATGTTCCGACTCCGAAGAATCCATCGAACTCGATACCTTTTCCTCCCACGCCGCGGCCAAGTCCCGCCCGCGTGCTCAGCTTCGGATCTTTTAGCATGCAATCATGACCCGTCCGAGCGCGAGGCAAGTCCGCCCGAAAAGAACCAGAACCTGGATGCATGGTGGTTCGATGCAGCTGTGCAGTTGGGCACTGCGTGCCCCAACACGGCTTCTGAAGGATTGGTTTTACGTTTCGGCCTCAGGTAGATGCACACCGTGCCACAAGGGGGTTCAGCAGCTGCCCCACCTTGCACACCAAATCTTATAGCTGCTATTGATTGAATAGGTTACTCTGCTTGATGTTGTTGCTGTTGTCGAGATCATGATTACCATTCTTGAACAGAGAAGAGAATACCTCCAGCAAAACAAGAAAACCTCTCAACCCCCGACAGATAAACCTCCGAAAGTTCGAAGAAACTAGAAATCCTGAAGCATGGAACACTCCGAAACCCCGCTGTGAGGATCCTTCTGATTCTGACAAGCAGCTTTTCCAAGCTCGCAAATCCCAAGCTTCCCGATCCGATGAGATGAATCCCGAAATAAACTAGGCCAATCCGAGGAGTCCGACCAAGCCATGACCAGCTGCCATCGCTGTGGATCGCGGAGGTCAGACCTTTCCCACAAGTTCCCCTTAGTTAAGATTGATTGTTACGGGGTCCAATACTTGTAAGGGGTCCTTTCAGGGCTGATACGAGGAGTGTTGAAGGTCCCTATCGGCTGCACTGGGGAGGGGGGTGTTGCTGCTGTAGTCCTATCCGGTGTTGCAGTCGGTTCTGTTGTGCGTTGGCGCTGTTCAGGGTTTTGTGTTTCGGGTTGAGGAATCCGGAAAAGCCATCCAGAGAACTCCGAGGCCGTTCCAGACTGTGTGAACTCCAAACCTCGAACCCTAAAACCCAAAAGGCCGAGAAGCCTATAACACAAACACTAAACCTCTAAACCCTAAAGTAGAGCCCTGCAGCCCTAATACCCTAAAGCCCAAAGACCTTAGAACTCTAAACTCTGCACCCTAATCCCTGGCCTAAACCAAACCCTCAAAGCAGAGCCCGGAAACCAAGTGTGGGACATTATTCTTAGTCTTAATCATTCCTGATACGTGCTGTGCTAATACAATTACCACTGCCATTACTATTCCTGTTACTCTTATGTACTCCTACTTTTCCTTGTATTCTTACTCTCACTCTCACTCCCACTCCCTCTCTCACTCCTCACCCCCGCTCTCACTCCCACTCTCACTCCCACTCCCTGTCACTCTCACTCTCACTCCCAGCCCCACTCTCACTCTCACTCCCAGCCCCACTCTCACTCTCACTCCCACTCTCACTCCCCACTCTCACTCCCACTCCCTCTCACTCTCACTCCCACTCTCACTCCCACTCTCACCTCACTCTCGCTCCCACTCTCACTCCCACTCCCGTCACTCTCACTCTCACTCGCAGCCCCACCCTCACTCCCACTCTCACTCTCACTCTTACTCTCACTCTCAGTCTTATTATTACTATTACAAGTATATTTACATTTCCATTACTCTTACTATTACAGTTGGTTGTTAAGTCGAGGCCGGAGCCATGCCAGGAACTCGGGGAAGCCGGGCCAGCATTGGGAGTCTCGAAGCAGCTTCCGAGATTTCGGGCTCCGGGCTTAGGGTTCGGGGCTTAGAGGTTTGCAGGTTTGGGGGTTCCTGGCTCAGAGGTTTAGAGGTGTAGAGGTTTGGAGCTTTGGAGGTTTAGTGGTTTAGAGGTCTAGAGAATTGGAGGTTCAGAGGTTTAGTGGTTTAGGGGTTTAGGAGCTTAAGGGTTCAGGGTTCAGGGTTCAAAGTACAAGGTCAAGGGTTA